GCACCATTTTAAGTGTGCTGTGCAGCTAGCGGGTCAGTATGGTTTTAAAGTAAGGGAGAAGATGTAACAGCTGAATGAAGGACAAAGATATGTTTAAAGCCAACCCTTAATAGCTGCACTGACCAGTGATGTGATTTGCAAATGCTAGTGCTTTATGGTGCTTTATAAACTGATGCTGTCACTTCTCCTATCCTACTCAGATTTTTCATGCTTATGTTAAAACAATACTACTTTATTTTCCCCATACTTGGAAAGTTCCCTTTAAATCAATTCCTCTAAGTTTTTGCCTTCCCCTTTCATTTAACACCGAGTGCCCGATGCACTGGTAGTTGTTATCTCTCCCCGACAGCATTCAACCATTTTGGCTCATTGGATGCATAACATTTCAGTGTGGCCGAATGCCAGCTCCGGTATATTAAAGCCACACAGATAAGCTACAGTGGTTAGTGGTGTTGTCTCACTTCAGCTTATTGCCTTTAATCTTGAGCCGATTAATCTGTCCAAGGAGGAGCGAAGGATCATGAGCGAGACAGGCAGAAAAACAGCCGTGGATGATGGGCGGGTGGGAGCTGAAATACTTGGAAGCAAGAGCAGATGCACCTTATAAGCAATGTGAAACTGTATGTAATGACGGGAGAGCAAAACCAGGCACATTGGAGAGGAAATTAAGACTCTTGGTGATCGTGGCTGGAACAATCATGGCATGTGGGTATGCAGGTGCTTAAATCCCACTACCTTCCAAAGGGAATTGAACGCTCAGTTTGTCTGGGAAAAAGATAAACAGACTATCCAGTAATTTTGGAATCTCATCAGTGTTTTACCAAGGGGAAAATTAGATAATTTGTAAAATACAAAATCCTTTTTTCAAAATTTTTTTTAAAAAAGCAGTTACTTTGCTGATGTGAACAGGCTTGCTTGCTTCTAAGCCATAGGCTGTTGCATTTTAGATTCTGTATCTCAGAAGGTTAAAAGATAAATCTACAGAATGTTTTCTGTTCATAGCTGAGAAATAACTGTAATCCTAACCTTGGCTTTGCCATGTAACTTGCTGAGAGTGTATGTTAAATAAAGAGAAACATTAGGATTAGGCCTGAAATTCACTCTGATTCAGGGAGCCACTACAAGGACCACAAGCTATTTAATTCCTCCTTTGAAGGTTTCGGTACTGATGAAGTGATACTTAAACGATCTCTTCCTTTTCTCTTTTTTTCTTCGTTTTGTTTCCGTTTTTGGAGCAAGCTTTGAGCTTAAATTGAGCTGGCAACTTCCTTTTCAGACCTCAGCAGCTGACATCATTTGTACAGCAATAATCAACAACAGGAAGAAAACATCTGGGCTTGGAAGCATGAAGAGATCAAGGCTGTAATGGTCTAGAGAATAAAGGGGTGACAACAGTCTGTGTTGCAACAGTTTGTCTTGAGTGTGTCCTGCAGACGTGAGGCCACTCCAGTGGCTGTAGGAATTGAACATTCCTGGTTTCCGAGATGAAGGAATGAAAGATGGGGCAGTAAGCTGTTGGGTTCCCTAGAGAGAAGTGGTTCAGTGAGGTCAGGACAGCACACTGCTTTTCGCATGGGAAGCCTCCACGGTAATCTTCACGGCTGGGTTTGCTGCGTGCTGTGGTGGGTCAGAAGGCCTTGTGTCCATGGTCCTGTGGTGGATCATACCCAAGGGTCATCTTGGGAACCTAGGGCTGTGGGAATGCAGTGGATGGAGCTTTCATCAGCTGCTTTGTACTGCTCCGAAGCACAGGGACCTTAAAGAAAAAGCTTTTTGTTTTACTCTGAGCTTTTGAGCTGTGCCTGAGGACTGGGAGGAGAACTTCCTCTGAGCTGCATGTGGGCGATTCCTATCCATACCAATAAGCAGAAGTAGTTGCAATGCACAGTTCTTTTAACAGCAGGCGAAGAATCAATGTTGACTTTTCTCCTTCAGGGGATTTAGGCTCATTCTTACTTATTTGGGCTCCTAAAAACCCCAACCCT